TAGAAATTCCTAAAATCATTGTATGATGGCAAAATACTTCCTTCAGTGTATGATCTCTCAGATCTCGTCCTCTCAGACCTGGAGTGACGAGTTCTGGAAGACCAGGATTGAGTATCGCCTGTCCTGAGGCTTCTGCTCTCTCCTTGCGAGGGTGTGGTATTCCTACTACGATTTTCTGAGTGGCGAGGGGGCGTTTTGTTTTTGCGCCCCTCTCCTATCGCCACTTCTTTTCCCTTCATCTGGCGCTTCAAAGCTTCCATGTCCACCGCCATCTTTTTTATTAATTCATCTTGTTCTTTCACGCGGTCTTCCAGAGCTTGAGGATCAATCCTCCGTCTTTGCCTGTCAGGACTTTGCGAATGAGAGTGATGGGGGCTGTTATTTCGCCTTCCCCTAGTATCCCTCCTGGTATTATGTCGTTGGGGCTCCAAATCTGCCATGGGAGGGATAGAAGGTAGTCCTTCACGCCTTGCGCCCCCATCTGGAGTTTGTCTGTCGATGGCGGACTGTGGCAATTCTTCAATGTGCGCCATTGTCTTTGAAGAGGAGGAGCTTAATCAAGAGGTTTTGTCCTGTCTGTTCTTCCCACAAACGGCGCCAATTGTACGGGAAAGAAATACACTTTCTCGTATAATCCTGTTGACCAAGTCTGCTCCTCCGTACGTCGTCGCTTTTCCACCTGAAAACACAAACGTGAGCTAGCCGGCGGGTGTGTGCCAGAAACCTCTCTGATGCCTAAGTCAGCAAACTTGACAAATAGACAAAGCTCTGTGTATTCAGAAAGCAAAGTTGTGTGTTACCTCCTCCAAGGTGATGTTTGTGAGCTTTTATAAGTTTCGTATGGCACAATCCTAGTAGGACCTCTACTCCTCCATGCAGAGTCCTCTTAGGATTCATACTCCTGAAAGATAATGTTTATCCTTCAACACCCCCCTCACTGCTTAAACCAAGTGAGATGGTTGTTACCATGGCCGAACTACCACATGATCGAAATAATACTGGCTATGTTGAGCCAGAGTAGGCCGAACTATCCTTTGTTCGGTTCTTCCTTGTATTGCTCTTTATCTCGGTTCTCCCATGTCCAAATCATGGTGTGTTTAGACCGAGCGACCGAGTAGCAAGGTTCTGACCGATCTATCCACAATATGTCATGACCGGACTAACCCCCTGCGATCGGCCTAACTCCAAGTCGCTTCCGAACCGGAGTAACATTATATCGGTTTCGGGCTGGATTAACTTTATCTCTCTTGAGCCGGAGTAACTTTATCTCTCTTGGGCCGGAGTAACTTTTCGCCCTTTTTACCCAATCCTTCGTACTTTAGGCCGTAAAGCCCCTCTCATAGCTCGGCCAAATTTTCACCAAAATTACCCTCTCAATGACAATTGATACAATTGCAATAATTGTATTATCAAAAAAGTTAACATTTTTGAAGTGTAATAATGGTACTATAAAAAAATTTAAATTCTCTAAAAAGAATTAATATTTTGGGACAGAAAAAGTATTAATTTTTATTTTATTTTATTTTATAAATGCAACATGTTTAGGTTTAGTGGTGGGTCAATTTACTATGTTTATTACAACTAAAAAAGAAAAATCAGCATTCCCCGCGTTCGTGGAGTATTTAATTTTTTATAAAAAAGTTTAGGTTGAATAAAAAATAATTATAATTTTCAAATAGGTTTGCCTCCCGTCCACTTTATAGACTGAATCGGCCTAGTTTAAGTTAGTAGGATCACCATGAGTCAAGTTTGATGATCTTATTGGTTAATCTTTTAGACCACAGGGTGGAGATTTGTCTTAAAAAATAGATTCTCAATTTTTTTTAAAATCAAATATAATTAAATCATATAAGTACAATTATTGAATTAATCTCATTTTTTTTTAAATTTTATTTTATGGACGATTTACAAATGAGAACCTAAATAAATTAACAAATCAGAATATCAAAATAAGTCATGCAATGAGTCTAGGGGCCCAACCTTCCTAAGCTCATAATTTTTTTATGTTAGGGAAATGCTGCCGCAAAAATTATGTTTTCCATAAAAAAAAAAAGGCCTTGGCATGAGCAAGTGGGGTCGCAAAAAGTGTTAGCATCAACAAGGTGTTCGAAAATATGGTGATGGCAATGGAATAAGGTGGATACTAATTTTTTTTCCCCATTTCTCTATTATAATTTCTTCGCTTTCTCTATTTCCCATCCCCATGGGACTATTCTCTCCGTCTCCTAATGGTTTGGAATTTTTCCAACCCAACTTGACCCCTTTTTTTTTGTTTTTTGTTTTTTTTGTAAGGTTTACAGTGAAAGCCAAATCCACATTCACTTTTATTTTTTTTAGTTCAACAACAAAATCAAATACATATAAATTAATTAATTAAAAAAATTATTTTAAAGTATTAAATTTATAATCTTGAGACAACCAAACAAATTTTTAGTAACCCAAAATAAAAAAAAGAAGCAAAAAAAAATGTTAGCATGGACCACCAAAAACTGCCAATCAAGAAACTTGTATCCAATTATGTCAAGTTTTGTCCCATACAGTAACATGAATCAAATTAAAAATAAAAAATAAAAAATAAATAATTTTTTTTTAAAAAGTGGGATTAAACTCAAAACTCATTTCAAACTATAATTATTACTTTTCAAAACTCATAACCAAACACACATCTCAAAACTCTTTTCAAAACTCAAAAACAACTTAATTTTTATTTTAAATATTTTTTATTTTTTATTTTAAATATTTTATTTTATTTTATAGGAATATTTTTAATATTTTAATTGTAAATATTTTGATTTTCAGAATATTTTTAATATTTTGATTTTCGGAATATTTTTAATATTTTAATTTTCTAAATAATTTTAAAATATTTGTAATTTTTATACAGACCTAAAAAATGAATTGACAGAAAAATTAATTGACATAAAATAATTGACATAGAAGTTATTTGAAAAAAAAAATTCAAAAAAATTACTTAAAAACAATTAATTGAAAAAAAAATTATTTTTTTATTTGAATATTTTAAAAATAGTTTGGTTATGACTGTTAATCAAAAATGCGGATATCGAGTTATGAGTTGTGTGTTTGATTATCAATTATAGTTGAATTAAGTTTTGAAAACTATTTTAAAAACTCATCACCAAACAAACTTTCTTATTTCACATGTTACATCAAACTTTCAAAACTCAATTCTACATACAATTCAAAATTCAATTCAACACTCTATTTAAAAACCATAACTAAACAAATTTTCTACAATCAAATCATAATTCTACAACTCATCACAAACTCAAAATACAACTCATAGTCTTAAATCATATTTACAAAACTCTACCAAACGCAACCCTCATTTTTCTCTCTCCTTTGGTGATCTCTTCCGGCAATCGGGAGTGTGTCGGATCGGTATTTTCGATGTCACCGTCGCCGAGATCATTTCCTCCACCGTCGTTCTTCAATAAGAAGCAAGTAGGGCTGTAAATGAGCAGAACCGTTAGTGAACAAGCTTGAGCTCGGCTCAGTAAAAGTTCATTTGAACTCGGTTTGTTAATTTTTTTTTTGCGTTCGAGATCGAACTCGAACTCGAGCTCGTTAAATTTTTAATAAACAAGCCCAAACATTCTAAAGCTCGGCTCGTAAGCTGGCTCGTTTAATATTTATTATTTATATATTAAGTAATGTAAAAATATATATAAAAAATAAGATAAATATGCTATTTGTATATTTAAAAAATATAAATGTAAATAATAGTTAATTATAGATTGTACATTTATATAATAGTGGCAGTAGATATTATTATTTTAATAAAATTTTGACTTTTTTTAAATATGTTTATGTATATTGTATATATAATTGTATAATCAAAATTTTAATTGTAACTTTAGTCTCATAAGCCAGTATGAATTTATAAATTTTTTGGCTCGTTAAGGCTTGTGAACTGGTTCGAGCTCGAGTTGAGCCTAAGCTAACTCGACTCGAGCTCAGTTCGTTAAATTTTTTATTCAGCTCGAGCTTGTTAAAATCTTAATAAATAAACCCAAACATGTTAAAGCTAAGCTCGGTTCAGCTCAGCTCATTTACAACCCTAGAAGCAAGTCTCGAAAGTCTCCGTCGACGGCGACTCCACCACCAAAGACCTCCGACAACTTCTCCAACTGGACTGAAGCTGAAAAAGGGGATATGGGGAGATGGGCGGGTACCCTTCCCCAACCCATCCCCGATAGAGATTTAAACAATATCACTTATCTAACCCAATAGGTAGAAAAAATATAGAAACTCCATGTATTTGGGTTAGGTCTTCATGAATATCCACTGGATAGATTATCCATTGTCATCCCTGACAATTGTCCATTATTAGCGATCGTAGAAACTTGACGCTAAAAAACAAAAAAAAAAAAAAAAAATTGCATTTATTGTGATGGCTTAGTTGTACCATCGCTAATAGCATTATTTGTGTCGGTAGAAGTGTTATCACAACATTGTTTTTTTTTTGTTATGTAATATAAATGACAAAAAGTAGGGAACCCAAAAAACTAAGCGAAAAAATTACTTTGAAAATAAATTGTGTGACATGGATCTAACAACTTTTTAAATTACATTTTTTGAGTGCTATAACGTTGCTGATATAAGTGCAATTGTTTATTTAATAAATTTATCTGTTGATAAAGTGTTTTCGCTTCCAACTAATATAATATTCATATTCACTTTGCAGATAAGGGAGGTTAGGCCAGAGGTGAGCCTAGTGGTGAGGATGGTATCAACAGTGGGCAACTATGACTACATAATTGATTGGGAATTCAAGCCTACTGGATCCATCAAAGTTGGGGTAAAAAACATTGATTCCATAATTAAAATTGAAATGTGCTTTAATTAGCACATACATAGTACTAATAATCAATTTGAGTAATCATTTTTAATATTTTTTTTCCCTAATAGGTTGGGCTCACTGGCATATTGGAAGTGAAGGGAGTGTCTTATACTCACACTGATCAAATAAAAGAAGATGGTCATGGGACATTGGTAGCTGATAATACTATTGGAGTGTACCATGATCATTTCTTGACCTTCCATCTTGACCTTGATGTGGATGGTGAGACCAATTCCTTTGTAAAACACAAATTAGAGACACGACGAGTGGCCAATAACATCTCTCCGAGGAAGAGCTATTGGACTGTCGTTAGTGAAACAGTGAAAACCGAGCTCGATGCACGGATTCAATTGGGCTTGAAGCAAGAAGAGTTGGTAATGGTGAATCCTAAGAAAAAGACTAAGCTGGGGAACCCTATAGGCTACCGTCTGTTTCCAGGATCGACAGTGACTTCTCTTTTGTTGAAGGAGGATTATCCGCAAATCCGCGCTGCTTTCACCAACTACAATGTATGGGTGACCCCATATAACAAGTCTGAAAAATGGGCCGGAGGGGTATTTGTTGATCAGAGTCGGGGTGACGATACCTTAGCTGTTTGGACTCTCAGGTACACCCTATAGTCCCAATGAAAACATCATTTGATACGTTAATAAGTTTATGTACACAAAATTAAACTACAGAAAAATACTAAAATACATGTCAGCATAATAAGGTCCACTTTTGATAAAAAAAAAAAAAAAAAAAAACAACTAGGATACTAGTAAATTAGAAGGCCTTATCATGCGCTAACATGTACATCTACTACAAAACAAGAGTCTAGGGTGAAATTGAAGTAGACACAGCCAAGTGACGCCAGCTTCACAAGTGATACAACTATGAGGCCTCATTTGAAAATAGATTATTTTAGTAATTTTTTGACTTTTTACAAAAAAAATATGCAGAAAAATGAAAAGAGTGATGTGATAATTTATAGAGCTTTTTTGGGAAAAGCTAAAAACGCCAATTTTTGGCTTTTTACCCATTTTGGGTCACATCACCTCTCACATTTTTTACTTACAAAAAGACAAAATAGACTAAAAAAGCTAAAAAGTCAATTTTTTACTAGCTTCCCAAAACACTCCATAATAAGTTTTTGACTAAAATATTTAGTTCCCAAACAAGGTCTGAATGCCAAAGACAACGCCCCTTAATAACATTGGCGACTCCACATCAATGGTAATGGTCTCATAACTCCATCAAGCTATCAAGAATCATTAAAACAAACTATGTGTGTTGATTTCCGACCACATTGTCAATCAAGTACTAAGCTAGAGAACATTGGCAGAATAGATTAAGGTCGAACAACCTGTCACAAAAAAGAAGAGATTCCGGCGGTGGCTCGTCCACCCGGGGGCACTTCGACGATCAAGTCAGTTATCTCTCAAAGATAGCAAAAGTGCTTAACTAACTATTCAGAATACAAAAAGCATAAAAGACATACCTTAGACCCGTAGGGGTGCCTCCCTTTTATAACCAACACAATCCTAGTCTCAATAGAAGCCTAACTCTAATGGATTTAGGATTACTGCTAATCTTAGACTCCCAGTAGGATTATGATAAACTCTCTAAGAGTCTTATCTTTTCCCAAACTAAAGTCTTCTCTCATTCTAGGACTCTTGTCCCTTATCCGTTTATCCCAGATTCCGATATCTTCGCAGATAACCTCGGCCTAGTCGAGATCATCTCGGCGTCAAAATCAAGACACGTGGCACCCTGACTGGCACTTCGGTGACACCTCGGCTACGTGTCGTCATTCAAAATTTATGTCCCTACAACTGCCTCCTAGGTTCTATTACCTCGACATCCTGAGGTGATGGAACCTATATCATTTCTTCATTTAATCATGACCCCGGATTAACTTCAACTTGTAAATTTTTCATAAATTTCAACAAGTGTTAAACAAGACCTCGGTTTAACTTCAACTTGTAAATTTTCCTTAGCTTGTAAATTCTAACTCCCAAGCATCATTCTCCAGCCCTCTTTGATTCTCCATGCCCGACCTCCCGTGAAGGTCGGTGAGAATGCCCCTCTGCCCTGTCGTACTGAGGGACTGCAGAAACTGTGTTTTGCCCCCCCTTTCTGGACATCTTTCTTGGCCGCTGGAATCGGCATATCTTGTAGCGGGAACGGTGGCTGCATGACGTTTTTCTACATCAGGAAATTGACGACCGTTTGTAGGTCTGCCAATTTGTCCGCTATTCTCTTCATCTCGTCGTCCCTCTAGAGGCATCTATCTTTCCATACCTGGAGGTCGTCCTCGTTATAATACATGTTCCGGTCCGATTTCTTTGGCACGTCGCCCTCTTGGCCGATGTCTTTTTCTCCGTGATTTTTATCACGAGTCTCTTCGTTGCAGTTGTCTTCTTCGACGTCAAGGTCAATATGTTTCCCACTCTCAGTAGGGGTGTTGTCTCTAACTTTCTCTTTCTGTCCGTCGTTGGCCATCTTTTCTCATTTCTTTCCCACAGACGGCGCCAGATTGTGGGTGTCAATTTTCGACTACACTGCCAATCAAGCACTTAGCTGGAGAACACTAGCAGAATAGATTAAGCCCGAATGACCTATCACAAAAAGAAGAGATTCCGGCGGTGGTTCGTCCACCCGGAGGCACTCCGATGATCAAGTCAATTATCTCTAAAAGATAGCAAAAGTGCTTAACTCACTATTCAGAATAAAAAGCATACCTTAGACCCATGGGGTTGCTTCTCTTTTATAGTCAACACAAACCTAGTCCCAATAGAAGCCTAGCTTCAATGGACTCAAGATTACTGCTAATCTTGAATTTCCAGTAGGATTGGGATAAACTCTCTAAGAGTCTTCTCTTTACCCAAACTGAAGTCCTCTCCCATTCTAGGACTCTTGTCCCTTATCCGCTTATCCTGGATTCCGATTTCTTTGCAGATAACCTCGGCCTAGCCGAGATCATCTCGGTGTCATGACTAGGACACGTGGCACCTCGGATGGCACTTCGGTGACACCTCGGTCACGTGTTGTCATTCAAAAATTATGTCCCCACAACTGCCCCGCCGAGATGATCTCTGCTAGGCCGAGGTTATCTGCGAAAATACCAGAATTCGGGATAAGCGGATAAGGGAGAAGAGTCCTAGAATGAGAGAAGATTTCAGTTTGGGTAAAGATAAAACTCTTAGAGAGTTAATCCTAATCCTACTGGGAGTCCAAGATTAGCAGTAATCCTAAGTCCATTAGAGCTAGGCTTCTATTGGGACTAGGATTGTGTTGGCTATAAAAGGGAGGCACCCCCATGGGCCTAAGGTATGTCTTTTATGCTTTTTGTATTTTGAATAGTAAGTTAAGCACTTTTTCTATCTTTGAGAGATAACTGACTTGATCATCGGAGTGCCCCCGGGTAGACGAGCCACTGCTGGAATCTCTTTTTTTCTGTGACAGGTTGTTCGGGCTTAATCTATGCTGCCAGTGTTCTCTAGCTGAGTACTTGATTGGCGGTGTGGTCGGAAATCAACACCCACAATTTGGCGCCGTCTGTGGGAACGAAAGGAGAATAGATGGCCAACGATGGATAGAAAGAGAAGGTTGGGGACGACACCCCTACTGAGAGTGGGAAACATATTGACCTTGACGTCGAAGAAGATAACTGCAATGAAGAGACTCGTGATAAGAATCACGAAGGAAAGGACGTCGGCCAGGAGGGCGACGTACCGAAGAAATCGAACCGGAGCGGGTATTGTAACGAAGACGACCTCCATGTATGGAAAGATAGATACATGCGGAGGGACGACGAGATGAAGGGAATGGCGGACAAATTGGCGAACCTACAAACGATCGTCAATTTCATGATGCAGAACAACGTCATGCAACCACCGTTCCCATTACAGGATACGCCGATTCCAACGGCCAAGAAAGATGCCCAGAAAAGGGAGGTAGAAAAAGGTTCCTACAGTCCCTCAGCATGGCGGGACCAAGGGACATTCTCATCGGCCTTCGCGGGAGGTCGGGCATGGAGAATCCTAGAAGACACAATCTCGGCCTAGATGATTAGGTTCGAGAAGAGAAAAGCTCAGCCTAAAGTGAGCAGATCCCAGATTTCAGAAGACAAGATCTCGGCCTAGATGATTAAGTCCAAGAAGAGAAAAACTCAGCCTAAGTTAAAGACTTTTTATATAAGGTTTACAAAGGAGTAGGTGAAAGCCATGCAGAGGGCTGGAGAATGACGCTTGGGAGTTGGAATTTACAAGCTAAGATTAGTTTAACACTTGTTGAAATTTTAAATTTACAAGTTGAAGTTAAACCGATGTCATGTTTAACACTTGTTGAAATTTAAATTTACAAGTTAAAGTTAAACCGATGTCATGTTTAACACTTGTTGAAATTTTAAAGAAAAATTTACAAGCTGAAGTTAAACCGAGGTCATGATTAAAGGAAGGAATGATATAGGTTCCATCATCTCAGGATGCCGAGGTAATAAAACCTAGGGGGCAGTTGTGGGGACATAATTTTTGAATGAAAACACGTGGCCGAGGTGTCACCAAAGTGCCATCCGAGGTGTCACGTGTCCTGGTCATGACACCGAGATGATCTCGGCTAGGCCGAGGTTATCTGCAAAGAAACCGGAATCCGGGATAAGCGGATAGGGACAAGAGTCCTAGAATGGGAGAGCACTTTAGTTTAGGTAAAGATAAAACTCTTAGAGAGTTTATCCCAATCCTACTAGGAGTCCAAGATTAGCAGTAATCCTGAGTCCATTGAAGCTAGGCTTCTATTGGGACTAGGTTTGTGTTGACTATAAAAGAGAGGCACTCACGTGGGTCTAAGGTATGCTTTTTATTCTGAATAGTGAGTTAAGCACTTTTGCTATCTTTGAGAGATAACTAACTTGATTGTCGGAGTACCTCTGGATGGACGAACCATCGCCAGAATCTCTTCTTTTTGTGACAGGTCATTCGGGTTTAATCTATTCTGCCAGTGTTCTCCAGCTGAGTGCTTGATTGGTAGTGTGGTCGGAAATTGACACCCACAATTTGGTGTCATGACCAAGACACGTGACACCTCGGCTGACACTTTGGTGTCACCTCAGCCACGTGTTGTCATTCAAAAAATTATGTCCCCACACAAACATTTATCTATATTGTTAATATTTAAGTTAATGTAGTTTAATCTCATTAAAAAATTAAGGGAACCTATCATATAATTAAACACGAGCTGTTTGACAAGTTTAACTCACTTGTTTGGTTAACAGTTTTTAAAAATATCTTTTGAGTTTATGAGTTTTTATTTTTTTATGTTTTTTTATTTTTGGTAATCAGGCATTACTGGCCGGTCATAACTACTATCCTGTTTGGGGCGGGATCGTGACAGGGCACTCTGTCATGACCCTATCCCGCTCCAAACATGATAGTAGTTATGACCGGCCAATAATGACAAAGTGGTATTAGAGCTCTGATACCACTTTGTCATGATCCCATTCCGCTCCAAACAGGATAGTAGTTATGATTAACAAGTAGTGCCTAACTACCCGAGGCCTAGTGAAACAAGACAAGATTGGACTGAAACATTTGGGCTTATGCTGAAAAAAAAATTTGTCCATTAATTACCGAACGTCTATTCAAAGTATGTGCACAAGTCGTATGATTAAAATAAAAAATAAAAAAAAATTATTTATTTATCTTTGACATTTACAAGCTCAATATTCAAAAGAAAGGTACAACATTTACAAATATACAACCAATAAAGACCAAAACTCTTATACAAGATCTTCATTTATTTGTTTTTAGTGAACTTTTAAATATTTTAAGCATTTAAAAAAAAATAGATCCTCTTAATCTAAATACATTTAAAAATTAAAATATTTGTGAAAAAATCTAAAAAATATTCATTAAATACAAAAATATACAAAAACTCAGTATATTTTCATTTTTTTTAATGTATTTATTAATTTTTAGGTACATCTAGCTTATGCGTATCTAAAATAAAAAATAAAATTAAAAACAAAAGACTAGATTATGCAACAAAAAAAATTCTAAAGATAAAAAAACAAAAAACAAAAAACAAAAAACTTGGATTGCTTTTAAAACTCAAAACAAAATAGAGTAATGTTGTTTAGTTAAATTTTTTTTCCCCTTATAAAATTTATGGAACTTAAGCTTATGGAGTGACCCTATCTACAAAAATTTCTGGAATTGCCACTGCTTAACAAGAATTCACCGTGCTTGCTCATCAAAATTTTGGACAAATTGTGCAGGAATAGGAAGATTGAGAACAAGGACATTGTGTTATGGTACACCATGGGATTTCATCATGTCCCTTGCCAAGAAGATTTTCCGATAATGTCGACGCTAAGTGGTGGATTTGAGCTCCGGCCAACCAATTTCTTTGAGAGAAATCCAGTGTTAAAAACAAAAGCTCCCAAGATTGGGCATTGGCCCAATTGCACTGCCAAACCTTGATCAAATTTCCACAGACATTGTATGCAGAAAAAATAAGCACAAAGTACACATTAGTGTCTATTTCTTCTTCTTATATGTAATTTAGACGTGTAAAAGACTTGATGAAACCAATAAATCATGAGTACTTGTGAAACTGCAACAACTGTGGTCCGTGGATATAATTATATTGTGGAATAAACTATGTGAATCCTTATTTTGTGTGTGCGACATTGATTGGTTTCATTTAATTTTTCTTATTTATTATTTTGTGTTTCATCGATCTGGGCTAGAAATTATCAATTTCCTAACATTTCTCTGTCTCTATCATGGAGTTCGCAAGTTGGAATTGGGTTGATGTTGTTTGTTGACGTCAATATGAATTTTTAGTTTAAAACTGACATTTCCGAAGGAAAATAAGGTCCCCAAATGCCTATTCTACATGCATAATAGTCTACGCGCCCTAAAGATTATCACAAAAAGAATCACGTCACATTTTAGAAGTAATTTTTAAAAAAATTAAAAATTCTTAAGACATTTTATAAATAATTACCAAAAAAGACCCATAAGGATAAGGTTATTATATTTTTTGGGTTAATCACACTTTGCACCGCTATAATTTCACTTAATTTTTACTTATTTTATTGTTTAACTAATAGTTGATCCGTGCAATGCACTGGTTAATTTTTTTTCTTTTTAAATAATATTTTATAAAATTGAATGAAATTATTTATATATGTCTATATAAATTATTTTTAGAAATATGTTGCAATGTATGCATCACAAAAGAATAATAATAATAATAATAATTTTATCATGATATAAAATATAATATAAATAAATATATAATAATTTTAGTTGAATTATTTTTGTATATATCTATGTGTACATATATATAGAACTATTTAAAAAATACATTATAAAATATGCATGGAATTTTTGTTTTCTTAAACTATAAAAGTGTATTATATATATATATATATATACTAGGGTATGCCCGTGCTTGAAGGCACGACGTAAATAATGTTCGGTGTAAATAATGTTGGGATTAAAATGTAGTTATAAATTCTACGTATAATGTCAATTAATTAATTAATTTAATGCATCCTGATGTAGGACAAGATTATAAGAATTTTTATATTTTTAGTTTTAATATTTTTGATATATTATTCTATTAGGATTCTTGTAATTTAGTATAAATAATCTAGAATTATTAGGTTTCTTAATTTTATTATTTTGGAATTAGATTTTGACTAGGATTTTAAATAGTTTAGAATTCTAGTTTCCTATTAAGGTTTCCTAATTTGTGTTGATTTAAGTTTCATAGTTTATTTTAGAATTACTTTTCCTACAAGTATTAGGTTTAGTTTATTATAAATAGCTATGTAAGCCTTATGGCAAAGACAACTTTTATACAACTTTTATTCATTTAATTAATAATATTAAGATATTTTATTTTCCTTGTGGATTCAAGATTTTATTTTTCTTGTGGATTCGAGAGCCCCCTTTCGTCTACTAGAACGATATCTAGTCCCCGTATATTCCGCTGCGTCAAGTGGTATCAGAGCAAGGTTTCTCCTGGCTCGATGTCATTATTGAAAGAGGAAGCACAAACTCTATTGACGATGATCGTAGAGAAAGATTTAATAGGATTCGAGTCAAGGGACTTGCTCAAGGCCAACCTGTTAGTCACAACGTTAATAGGAACTGCGCTATGGGATTTGCCCAAGGCCAGCCTATTAACCACAACGTCTTGAGACGATCTTCTTGTTATCAATATGATAGTGAGGATGAATCTAAAGATGAGTTATTCGAGGATTATAGTGAATACCAGCCGGTAAGGCGACAACGAAGATTCAGTGATGTGTTCAATAACAATAATTGCATCAATCATGACTTTGCAAATTATCAAGTACTACCAGAAATTCCCTATTTTAAAGCTTCTTGTCATGCCGAGGATTTTATTTATTGGTTTCGCAAAGTTGATAAATTCCTTGAGAGTATGAAAATCTCTGAAGAAAAGCAAGCCAAATATGTCGCACGTAAGTTACAAGGTTATGTTTCTACATGGTGGAAACAATTGCAGTATGATCGAAGGCGACAATACAAACAACCTATTAGGACATGGCACAAGATGAAGAAGTTGATGAGTTCTAGATTTCTTCAAACAAATCATGGGCAAATATTGTATCTACAATATCAAAGAAAGCTTGAATCAAAACAATTGTTCCAAGGTAATTTTGATTCACAATATTCTTCGCAATTCAATAATTATTATGGAATTGTGGATACAGATTATTCGAGAAACATGACTATGGCTCTGCCAAGTTTGGGTCAATCAAGTCTTATAGATCAACAAATTTGTCGCGTTCAACCACACATTGAAGAAGAAAAGATTTTGAGTACCTCAGTGTTTCAAAATTGGAAGACCCAAATAGACATTCAATTGAAGTAGAAAATCAAGTTGATTTCAACAATGGTGAGAACGTTGAAATTGATGAAAGAGAGGTCACTGAAATTATTTTGATCAAGAAGTTTGAAGAAGACAATGAAGAGGTGAAACAAGAGGAAAACTTTGAAGTTATTCAAGAGCTTCTAATGACGGAACTATCATCTCTTGATTATTATGATGGTTATGAGATTGCAAAACAAGAAGATCTAGTTGAACTCAATGAAAAAGAAGAAATAAAATATAAGGTAATAAAGTTGACATGTGCACTAGAGAAGTTGATTGAGGATGCAATTGATGTTCGAAAGATGATAATTGAATGTCCAACTGAATCTAAGACAGAGCAAAGTTTAGAGAGTATCCAACATCAACATAAAATACCCTTCGTTGATTTTCTTGGTGTTGAGAAATTTAATTTGATTTTCAATACTTGTCTAATTGATCTTGTCTACCAGTTGAAGCATATAAAGAATAACTTTCAGAAAGTAGACTTCTCTGCATATAATGTTCAGAAGAGGGACAAACAATTAAAGTATTCCAAATATCTTTTTATTTGGGATGGAAGATGGCATATCTCTAATATGAACTCGAGGGCGAGTACTTTCAAAGAAGAGGAGTCTGATGTAAGACAAGATTATAAGAATTTTTATATTTTTAGTTTTAATATTTTTGATATATTATTCTATTAGGATTCTTGTAATTTAGTATAAATAATCTAGAATTATTAGGTTTCTTAATTTTATTATTTTAGAATTAGATTTTGACTAGGATTTTAAATAGTTTAGAATTCTAGTTTCCTATTCTCTAAGGTTTCCTAATTTGTGTTGATTTAAGTTTCATAGTTTATTTTAGAATTACTTTTCCTACAAGTATTAGGTTTAGTTTATTATGAATAGCTATGTAAGCCTCATGGCAAAGACAACTTTTATACAACTTTTATTCATTCAATCAATAATATTAAGATATTTTATTTTCCTTGTGGATTCAAGGTTTTATTTTTCTCGTGGATTCGAGAGCCCCCTTTCGTCTACTAGAACGATATCTAGTCCCCGTGTATTCCGCTGCGTCACATCCTCAACATTTAATTAATCATGGGGAACATGAATACATTAGAAACAGTGTATACTGCCACCACACATAAGCCAATTTTGTTTGAATAATTGTAGGTACCATTAAAATTTAGGAAAAATTAACCAAAAAAAAAAAAAACTTAGAATTTAATACTTGTAACAAAATAAACTATTGAGTTTTTAATTGTATAAATTTAAATATTAAATTTCTGATTTATTTTCAATCTAAACTATTTGCATGTTTTCAATCTACACAATCTGATATCTTTTACGTATTTTACTAAATAATAATTAATAAATAAATACCATTAAAAATCCAACCAATTTGTCGGTAGGAAGAAGTAGCCATTAGTCCTTTGCAGGATTTGTCTTTCACATATTTTTTTTTGCATTCCTATTGAAAAAAATAATATTATATCAACACATTTTGCATTCCTATTGAAAAAAATAATAATATATCAACACAATTTGAATAGCACATAAAATAAATAAAGATGTGAGTGGCCAAGCATTTGAATGCGCAGCACAATTAAGAAAACCAACCACTATCTCTTTTCTTACTCTGTTTCTTTTCAATTTCTTTACCATGTCTTCAACAGGGATGAAGAAATATTCCATGAATTATGAGTGAAAATTTAAATTGGGTTATAGAAATAAAATAAAATGAAACAAAAATAATGACCCGTGAGAGACATGCGGGTTGAAGAAAATAAAAATAAAAAAGAAAATGTTGAGACCCAAACCAATGTCAATAGCCCCCACGAACCAATGTCAAGACTCTCGTCTGACAACACAAAAAAGAAAAACAAATACATATCAGTTTAAGGTTTAGAAACACCAACCCATATAAATTGAAAGATGCATAAATAAAAAAATAAAAAAAGAAACAGAACACAACAAAAGAAAGAAAAATCCAAATACATATCAGTATAAGATTTAAAAACACAAATCCAACACAAACACATCAGTTTAAGGTTCAGAAAAACAAATACAAATCCAAATCTTAGAAACACAAACCCAAATTGATGGGTCTCTTTTGCTTTGATTGAAAAGAAACATAATAATTTTCAATGCTCTGTTCCAATGCTTTGTGTCTCTTAAGCTTTGTTTCCAACTTTTTCTGTGGTTCCATTAAATGCATACCTAATCACACAAAACCAAATAGAGATCTTAGAAACATAAATATTAGAAACACAAACACAAATCGAAACCAAAATCTTAGAAACACAACCTAATCAACAAAAATATATATAAAAAATAATAATAATAACACAAATCCAACACAATGAAACATTGAAAACTATTTGAAAAATCACTTAAGAATATCTTAAAAACCATTTGAAAACCATTTCATGAGGATCAATTATTATTTCAAACCCAAGGATTAGTTTGTATACCATACTACAAAATGAGTCCAAAAAAAAAAAAAAAAAAACTGCTCTTTCAACCCACTTAAATATTTCAATAAAGTTGCTCTACTAATTTTTTAGCAACTTCACATCTCCTTTCATTCTTACCTTCGTAACACAAACACAGTTGCTCACTAGTTTGGAAACACAAACACCAATCCAAATCATACCCAAACACGTACCTAATCCTATCTGTTCATCAACAACAACATAATCACCAAATCATATCTGTTCATCATCATCATAAAAAAAAAATCAAAAAATTAAAAATAAAATAGAGTTGTATGTGCCACTTCCAAGTACTT